TACAAATAAGATACTGAAAAAAAAAGCAGGCTCGTTTACCTGAAGTTGGGAGAAGTCATCCCTTGAAAGAAATTGCACAATGCGAGGAACAACACCAGTTTGAATAACTTCATTAATAGGAGGATTACGCTCTACAAAGTCAACCACTATAAGCATAAGTAAAACACACCAAAGAACCAAACGCTAAACGCCATATAAGAGATATATAAAATCACAGACCAATTGATAGCAATCTCCTGAAGCCATTCGTTGCGTCAAGCTGCAAATTTCTATCCTCTGACAAAACTCCAGCAACCATCTGTGGTATACTTTCATACTGCAATAGATAGAAGAAAGCTTACATTAAAACCATTCAAAATGAATAAAATCCAATTTCTAAGCAATGCAGGTTCCAAATTCCCAATTTAGGTTTTGAATTAGGCTTCTCTATACATCAAAATTCAGTACCCGATAGAGCTAAACTAGACCAGAATAATCTCAATTCAAATCTAATCCAAACTAATAACGCAGCAATCTGAATCAATTCCGAATCTGAATCGGTACCAAAAATCAAAGAGAAACAACATACTCGAGACGATGGGAAATCCAGGCCTTGCTGTGTGGCCGAATACGCCATGGAAGGAGTTATAACTTCACGCCGTTTCTTCTGCAGATTCTCCTCTCTCTTGTTCTTACGAATCTCCACCATGTTATCCTCCCGTCTCCGGCGACCTTCATCGGCGTCCACGGAAACCTTATACCTATTCCTTCGAACCTCCGTCCTCGCGCTAGGTTTAAGAGACATGGTCGCTGCGTTGAATCAAAACTGATCGATGGGAATTTTTCAGGATTCAGCAAAAGTGAAGAAGAAGACGACGAAAATAAGGGTTTTGGAATGAGGCAAATTTATACAGTTGAGGAGGCTACGGTTTAAGGATAAGTAAAGTACGATATTGGGCCTGGGCTTTATTGATAATTACGAGATTGCCACTAGTTTGAATTTGAATCTCAACGTCTACAAAAAAAAGTGTAGCGCTTCATTATTACTGACCTGTCTTTTTGACTTTAATAACTTAAGAGGCTTTTTTAATTTCAGCCTTGTGTAGATTAATCAGCCCATTTACAGCCCAATGTTTGCTCATTAGGGCCGTGTAGAAACTCTTTTAGTTACTAAACCCAAATGAGAAGTGCTTGGTTAATTAAGAGTTACAAATGTAACGAAAATCCCATTTTAAATTTTTTAGAAAAAGCTTGAATTAGTAAAAGTTTTTATCTGTTTTTTTCTCGGTAGATTTTTAGATGGGAGAATTGGGATTTATGGTTTGTGTCGACGTTTGTTTGCAAGG